TGGAATTAAAAGATAATGTCTTTTTCCACAAAATTTTTGAAACCATCTTCATATATATCTGCATCCTCCCACCATATATATATATATATATAAATTTTTTTTAAAGGACATTCTACCAATGGGAATCTTTATTTTTAGTAGAAATAGCCAAGTAGCCTAAAAACCCAAAATTATGATCATGTGTGGATTCTGTTGTTGTTAAGCGCCGTCAAGTCAGCTTTGACTCATAGTGACCCTGTATAGAGTTTCCGAGGAATGGCTGGTGAGTTTGAACTGCCAACCTTGAGGTTCAAACCGACCTTGAGGTCAAGTACTTATCCTAGGGCCCCACATTCTAGTGATTCCATTTCAGTTTCTCTCCTGCCTATGAGGTTCGAGTCAGCAATCCTGAGGCTCAACAGCCCACATCCGCTGGTCCCTAAAGAGGAATCTCATTCTGGCTGCATTTTGCCCTCAGATACTTTGACTGCTGATTTCTGAAGCTGCAAGGCAGATGTACACACTTTACTCAGAGAAAACACGAGGATGCTGGCTATGATTTAGATAATGGTTTTCAGTCCCATTGCTGTGCATTAAGGAGCTCTGCAGTCAGTCCAATCCCCCAACTTAATGACTCCTTTTGGACTGTAATAATGTATTATCCACAAGGCAGTGTGTGCTTCCAAAATGCAGCTCTTTATCAATCCCTGAGTAACAAGAAGAACGTAATTTCAAACAGAGTTGCGCTCAGAGAGAGTCAAGACAATCTGTTCTGCTGAAGCAGGGTGCTGAAAAGTCTCCAGCGGTAGCCAGAGAGGGAAGAGGGGATGCTGGAAGGGGTTCCTTTGGTATTCGCTGAGGGCGCAGGTCAAGTTCAGGGAAACCAGTACAAAGAAGAGTGAGGCAGCAAATTTCACTCCAGTGGTGATTCCATGATCATGACAGTGAGGATGGTTGCTCAGCGGGCCTCACAGTCAAGCTTGTCCCCAAGGCTGTCACAGCAGACGAGCCTGCAGATTCTTCCACAACTCCTGAAAACCAAGAAAGGGTCACAACAGTGTGCACGGGGACAGGATCACTTTGTTTTTGTTTTTCCAGTGCTCAACATGAAACCCTATATACGGTCACTATAGGTCAGAACCGACTCGACAGCACTTCACAACAGCATGCTGGTTGAGTTATGGCAAGATTGCCAAAGCTGGTGAAGGTAGGTTTAGCTCTCAAGCATCGTGGTGATGGTGACCAGGTTCTGGGTCCTCATTTAGACAAAATGACCTCCAGTCACCATTGACTGGTCCCGATATGAAGCAGTGGCCTGCTCTGAGCCAGGGAGTCCGTTTGGGGAAGAGTTTGGGATGGGGATGAAGAAATTCCAGCCTCTGCCTGACTTTCTGCTCCTCTTCAGAAAGGAAGGGACGCAGAACCGGCCAGCCAGTCCCCAGGGTGCAGAGCTCCCATTTAAGGACAATTCATGTTTGTCCTTTATTTTTGTTTAGTGCTGTCGAGTCGGTACTGACTCATAGTGACCTTGTGTAGGGTTTCTGAGGAGCAGCTGGTTGATTTGAACCACAGACCCTGCAATTCAAGGCAACCTTTTGGTCTAGTGTTGATTCTACAGCACCACACATTATATAAACTTACTCTCTCTTTGAAGCCACTGAACAAATTTGCTACTAGCAACAAATTCTTCAGTCACCTTCATTGCTGCATGTGCAGCTTTTAAACCATTGATAAGGTTTTGAGCCTTTACTAGCATTAAACTAAGGCTGAGTAAGAACTGTATTCCCTGTTCTGACTTACCTACACATTAAACTGAAATGCTGACTTAGGAACAGATCTTGTTCATAACCCAGGGACTGTCTGTATTGTCAGAGAAAGTTGCTCTGCAGCAGACAGAGATGCTTCCAATTTCAGAGAGAGGCAGAGACGAGAGGTGGGTTGAGCTTTCTGTGGACACCCCCAGCATAGGTTCCAAATCATTCCTGAGTCCTGACATTTCTCTGCTCTTGGAGTCTACAAGATATGTGTCACTGTAATAAATGTTGTGGTGTTGCCACCAGTCCCAGTGCACTTTTGTCACTTGCAGCCAGAGGGTCCTGGTGTGGTGCTGTGGGATAGAGCCCTGGGCCGCAAGGTTGGTTCAGACTCACCCTACGATTCAGAACTGACTCAAAGGCACTTAACACGACCAGAGGGCCAGATGGAGACCCACCGATGCGCACCACTTTATATTTTGGCCTGATTCCTCTCCTGCCCTATGAGTTCACCAATTCAGGGCCCCATTCATTCACCCCTAATGGCTAAAGTGTTTGGCTGCTAATCAAAAGATGAGCAGTTCGAACTCACCATGGCTCCATGGGTCAGGATGTCCTTGGAAACCCCATGGGGCAGCTCTGCTCTGTCCTACCATGCTCTGTCCTCCTGCTGTGAGGTGGAATCCAATCAAGAACTCAACTTTCACACATCCCAGGCCAGACACCAAATAACAATTATGTAAGTGTCCCCTCACTCCTTCTCTGGAGCCATCTATTAGCACTTCAGCAAAGCTCTGCTTAATTACAACAGTAACCTGTTAATCATGTTTCTTTGTTGTCTGAAAACCAAAACATTATCTTCTCATCCAGCTTGA